TTGCATGCTTAGCTACTGTGTTACCCATTTTCATGGACAACTCTATGGACTTGACAAGCTTTGTTTTGGTGGTCTAAGCTGGCAATCCTAACATCGCAGCTCAGTTTTGATCTAAAGCGCGGATCATTCATTTATATATATATATATATATATATATATATGAGCCATTGGGATTTGTAGGTTTTTAAACCAACCATCTAGATCGTCGTTCCGTCTCTCTGTGATATAACATATATTCCTGGTCTTAAATTTATTGTTGAGAATTACGGGATAGGTACACGCTCAATGCATTTCCTCAGTAAATTCTGTTCTCTTCTGAAAGAAATTATGGGAATAAACTCTCTGTTGAAATTGACAAGTGTCCTCCAAGCAGATAACAACAACAACAAAAAAAAAAAACTTCTGAAGAAAAAGTGAGAGAGGTTGTAGTATGCTTGGCAGATCATTTTAATCTGCAGCTGTGACGCGTACATCAGCAGAAAAACAAAAATACACAGATTAACAATTCTTCCATTTCCACATAACAGAATCTTCTGGTGAGAGAGAAACCCATTACACCCACAAAAACAAAATATATACAGGATGCGATGGGTAAATTGTCGCCATTTTAAATTTTAAATTTCGCACATGCACATTGTTTTTATGTTTGTTGACTGCACAGTACAGTAGAGTCAGTTGGGCACTGTCTGAGAAAAAGAGCACCATGACACAATTCACTCCACCAGAAATTTGGCAATCATGCTGGATGCCTCAATATGAACATTTCAAAGTGTTTAGTTGTCAATCCGAGGAAAGTGCAGAGGGTTCGGTGATTATGAAAATATGGCATCTCAGAAAATCATTCCGATTGGGAGTTATTTTCTTATCAGAACAAACTTGTTGGTGAGGGCCTCCAACTCAACACGGAGACCCAGATAAAGTGCCTAGAGGAGGTAGTGCTCCCCTGAGTCAAGAGGATGGCTGCTGGAAGACCCTATGTCTGGTAACAGGACTCTGGGTTCTCCTCCTTGTGTGGCATTGTACAGTCATTGCTGTCAGAGAATTTCTGTAACCACATCACCCCTTACATCTGGCCACATAACGCCCCAGGTTGCAAACCCTTTGATTATTATGTGTGGGACACAGTTGAGCAAGAGACCAACAAAACTCCTAGTAACACCAAAGATGAACTGAAACATTCACCAACTTAAAGAGGCCATCCAGAAGAGTTGCAGAACATTCCAAAGTCGTCTGGGGGCTGTGGCTGAAGACAATGGCGATTTTATTGAATAAATATACGATTTAGTATTTCAAGATATTTTTGAGTAATTTTGGTAAATATATCTGATAAAATGAGACGCCAGTGTTATTTTTACGTAATTTAGACAAGAATTTATCCATCACACCTTGTACCTAAATGACTTTGGGTCAAATATGGACCAGAATCCGACAGAATAAGATAAAGAAGAAATAAGAAACATTTATCAACCTAAAATATTTCATTTTTATTAAAGTTTCAAAGAATGAGATACGTAAAAAAGAAAGAAATTCTGGTATTTTTCCTTTTGTGTTTGATTGTCATTGGTTAATTAAACAACACAAAAGTAAGAATACCAGAATTTCTTTTTCTCCATATCACATTCTCTGATGAAGGATTAATAAAAGTGAAACATGTTAAAGATTTTCCTATTTGTTTTATATATATATATATATATATATATATATATATATATATATATATATATATATATATATATATATATATATATATGAATACATAATTGCATTTTATGTGTGGAATTTAAATGTTATTTATTTTGCCATGAGTTATAAAATATTAGTTACAAAGTTTGCTTTATTTTGTTTTATTACAATTTTTGACTGGCTTTTGCAATGTCTTTAAAAATTAAAAAATAAAGGTTGCACACACTTTTTCATACCAGAAAAAAAAGACAAGATAAACGACCAATATATTTAATAAAATGATCCTCTTATACAACAAACATTTTTTTTTGTTTTATTTATTTGGCAGGGTCAGTCATGTTTGCACATAACCAATACAAAGCCCACCTGTAAGGTCTGCTCATTTATAAAATGATTTCTCCATAAATACAGACAGTTCAGATGTGTTGTCTGAAGAAAGGCATATAAAAATATGATAGAGAAAAAAAAATGTTTTCATTCCTTTTTAGCCTGTTTTCATCATTCATACAAATGCGGAGAGAGACTAAAGCTAAGCAAATCATTTTCAATAAAGAGGAATAACTTTCACATCCATTTGTGTTCATGCTATAATATATAAACATGTAATATACAAGGTTCTGTATACAAGTGGCTTATATATATATATATATATATATATATATATATATATCCATCCATTGCAATATAAGTGGTTTTCCAGAATGAAACCTGCAAATACTTTAAGAATTCTGATTTTTATCTGAAAAGATGAGACTGCCATATGCTGTTTCTTTCAGATATACAATATATTTTTTTTTCTTTATGTACATTTAATGTCTACATGCAAACACCCCTTGTATACCCAGGGTCTATAGACATACACAAATACATATGTAACACTGTAAAGATATCCACAGTTGCAAAGCATTTTTTTTTTTTTTTCTTCTTTAAAAGACTCATAAAAAGCAACACTGTAAAAAGTCTTGTAATGCACCTAAAAGAATTTAAAAAAAAAAAAAAAAAAAAAAAATCAAAATGCAATACAAATTTTTATGGTTCAATTCCTTACAGCTTACAATGAGTATTAAATATGTCCAGGAGATTTTATATATATATATATATATATATATATATATTAAATGCACATTCAAAATACCCACATCATTTTTAAATTTGAAAAAAAAAAAAAAAAAAGATGAAGTTTAAAAAAAAAAATAAAAAAAAGTTATGTTAAATTATCTCCATTATTAAATGCAGATTTGAATATGAATAGATAAAATGTTTATGCTATGTCCGAATGATGAATGTATATTAAACTTAATCAAAACATTTGTCCATTATTCTAGCCACAGTTTATACAATTTTGCAGTACAGCAAAAGTGCAATGCAAATATTGTAGTAAACACCAACATATTACACTCATCTAAATGCAGAAAATGCTTACAAATTATGGAAAGGTTAACAATATAAAAGAAGAGACCAACTCTCAATCATATCAATTATGAACAAGGCCACAAATGGTGACAGTGTTCAGAAACTAAAACACACACTCTCTTTTTATATATTTATATATATATATATATTGGGAAAAAAAAAAACCATCCTTGATAATGGCTAATAGATTAACCAATAGCGTTTAGATCCCCAGATCATTTGGGCAGTACTTACACACTATGTCTAAAAAAGAAATCACTTGTACAAATGCAAGAAAAATATAATAAAAAGCTTAATCGCAGTGCTTTGTCAGTCGTCTTTGATTAAACCTGTACAATATCTTAATGCATACTTGGGTAATATGAAATATCACAGAATAAAATCAAAGTTAACAGCGATAATTAAATGTAAAAATAGATGGATAACTTTCCTATAAATAATGCAAAGTGTAAGCCAACTTGTTATCTTAATCACCGTTATTTTGACCACTTGAAAATATGTTTAAATTTAATCTGTGATCTTATAAATATATAACTTGTAACTGAAGGTAAATCAGAATGGTTAAAAAAAATTAAAAGTTCCCCCCCCCAAAAAATAAAAAAAATAAAAATAAAATTATATCAGCATATCACCAAGTGGTTATAGTGTTAGAGTTCCAACCAAAAGACCCAGGTTCAAATCTCACCACAGTCAAGGTGATCATCTCCCTAGGGCGATATGATCCCAGCATATTGCATTGTTAGGAAGGAGTAAGTGCAAGAAAATCATACAAATTGACCGAAGCATTGTGAGTGAAATTGGGTAGACAGAACTGTTTGAAAGCTATTGATAATTGTGCTAGCATAAAGTAATAATAGAAGCTCTTTAGCCTTGGATGGCAGTCTCTCTGGAGATGGTCTTGACTAAAACACCTATACCACAGCAGCCTGGTTATTTGTGGGCATGTATTGGCCTAAAGAAAATAAAATAAAAAACCCGCAGTGACTGGAATTCTAAAAAAAAAAAAAAAAAAAAATAGACATCACATAGGTTTGCAATCTGCAACAGGTAGAAAAAAAAAAATCCAAAGAATCTGCATAGTTATAGGCCCTGACCTGGCATCTCAGCTTCCCACCAATGTAATGTAGCTTTCATGAATCTTTTCTATAAATACTTTCATGTTAATTGTTCTGATAAACTTCCCCCCGCATTAACTAGACTTTATGAATTTAAGCACAGTACTAGATTGGTAGCAAGGTCTCAGCATTTTACAGTTGGAATCACTAGATGCAACCGTAAGTTCTATGCTAACAGTTTCTTCTATCACAAGTCTCATTTCTGGAACTCTTGCTTCCCAGTCAACTTTGATCTTCAAAATTTTAAATGCAATGTCAATCGTTATTGTTTTCTTAATTCTTGTTCTTTTTATCGTTCTCTTTCCTTAATAGTATTTTTTCTTTCATATTCTCTAACACTCAGCAACACTTTGTATCTTAGTGGCTTTATTGCCTTGCTTGGGAGTGGAATGATTAAAAAAAAAAAAACACAGCATGATGAATCAAATTTTGATGTTGGCCAAAAATGTTTAAAAATGGCAGATTTTGTAACTATTTCATGTTAAGAGAAGATATCTTCTGTAATCAATTGAAGAACTGACAAAAATATTCACTTAAGGAGTACAACAAATGAAAGAAATGAATGGCCATTTAGATGAGTCGGCAATTACACTAATGCACTTTTCATTATTTTTATAAGGTAACGAGAGTCCGCATGATTGCTTAAAAATTCAAAATCATGAAAGAATCAATACATATGCACAGCATGGCACCAAAAAAAAAAAAAAAAAAAAAAATCAATGCAGCAATTTATGTTGTCCGTCACCCCAGACCCCCTCACCCCCACCCCCAAATGTCAACTTTTGCTATTTACAGTGACTGATTGTTGGGTTTTCGGGCAGCAGCCAATGCCTTTTTACGTTGATTAATGTAAATTCGAAGAAACATTGCTAGGAAGACAACAGCCACTCCAACAACTCCGAGTGGCGTCACAGGATGTCCGTAGATGATGCAGGAGAGAAAGATGGCAAGTGCCTGTCGAAGAGTCATGATGATCGTGAAGGTGACCGCCCCAAAGACAGAGATTGTGTAAAAGATGAATAGCTGACCAGTGGCCGAACAGATACTGAGTACCATGATGTGAATAATAAAATTAGGGTGGGCCGTCATGAAAGCGAGGGATTCCACAAAGCCACCTTGTTCGACCAATGCAACGACTGTCAAGAGGCATGAGAACATATTTACTCCGGCCATCATTTGGCAAGAGGACATGTGGTATTGGGTGAAAAGGGCACTTTGCCAGTTTGAAGTGAAGCTATCAAAACCCATGTAGCCAACAAGGAGAATAACCCCAGAGAATGTTGTGACTGAATCCTTGTGCTTTGTGGTGTCCCCACTGGTCAAGAGGAACATGGTCACCCCCATGGAGATCATTGCAGCTGTCAAGTATTCATGATAGTCGTAGGTTTTCTTTGATACAATTTTTCCCATCAGCATCACGGGAATGATTTTTGATGCTTTCGCAAGCACTTGTGTAGGAAAGCTGATGAATTTCAGTGCTTCGTATTGGCACCAGCTGCTCATGATGTTAGAGAAAGAGCTGAAGGAATATTTATATAATGGAGATGAATGCCTTGGTTGGGTTTGGCAGATGACCACCAGGAGGCCGATAGTAAAAGCTGAGATGCGGTTCATAAAAACCAGGAAGGTGGAATTTTTGAAGAATTCACCTGGCGTGGTGTCTGTCTTTCCATACTCAAAGGTCATAATGCGTTCTTGAAGAATGCCCCAAGTTAAGTAGGAACCTTGCAGGCCAGCAAAACAGAAAATTAAAACAAGCAATTTCCAATAGGTCGGCCATTTTTCAGTTGATAATGGTTTTGAGGGTGCAACTGAGGGTTGTTCAACATCAGTTTCAATTTCATTACCATAGATGCAGAGTTTTACCACCCGTGAAAAAATGCCATGACCTGTAAGAAAAAAAAAAAAAAAGAAAATATATAAAAATTAAGTTAAAAAAAAAAAATAAAATAAAATAAACAACAAAAGCACACACCTTATTTATATATATATATTAATTTAATTAGAAAACAGACAATCTTAAGGGTCCATTGATTATATTTAATTTCCCTAGGTAGGGTTTGTGTTTTTTTTCTGGTTCCTCAGATCACATTTCCAAGGGTAAAAAATGGTTTTATGTTTATGTATTATTTTTATACACTTTTGAGGGGTAGTTTTAAGTTGATGTAAGGTGATAGAGAGAGGGAGAGGAGGAGAACAACAGATATGGTTGAAATTAGAGAAGGAAGGGAGAGATAGGAATAATTTTAAATTTATTTTTATTAAGGTGTGTGTGTGTGTGTGTGAAGAAAAAAAAAAAAAGCAAAAGGAAGGAGGACAACTGCAGTCAAGATCAGAGTCATTGCAAAATCCAGAATTCTTTCCTTAGCTTCAGAGTATGCTTGGTTTGGTTTGTTTCAACTCTTTATGGGTCATTTAATGCCAACATTTTATTTTCTTGTGAGCTTTGGTACCCTCCACAAAAAAATGTATTGCTAGTAATTTTTAATTTTTTACTGTTATGTAAAGGTAATGTCATAATTATATTCAATAACTTTAATCCGATATTTTTAGATATTGTATAAAACGATAACCCTAACCTTGCTGCTAAACCCCACATTTTTTGTTTTTCTATTTCTATAATCATAAAACTGTATATTTATGACAAAATAAGTCTGCATAACGATAGTTACTTTATTTCTACACAATATAATAAATAAAATGAAAAAGTTACTCATGTTTATTGTGTTTCAGAACACATAGTTCAGACATTGTTTTTGTTTCCTTAAGATTGTTTTAATATTGTTAATTAATTCAAATATTAAATGCCTATAATCATTTTGTACAGCCTTGTTAACGAGGGGGGGATTTATTTATTTCCTTCAGACAGGCTATACCATTTTACATTTTAAGGCTTCCTGTATATGGCTTGTACCACTTGAAAATGTCTTGTCCAAGAACTTTTAATAACTCTCCATTTATTTTTATATTGTTATCAGCTTTGAAAGTATTCATAAATTTACTTCCTACAATGCTCATCCGAAACATGACTACCATAATTCACCCATGTATAACATGCCTTCATCCATAATACGCACATCTAAAATTGTAATGAAAGTGTGAGAAAATGCTTCTACTCATGCATAATACGCACCTCTTGTTTGGTAATTGAACCCTATAAATTGTACCTCTCCAATTTCATTACGGCCAGCATTTCCTACTCTTATTTAAAATGAATGGTTTTAAATATAGAATAATATTATTCTAATTTAGGCTTATGATAATTCTTATTTTATTATGGCACTTTTTAAAAAATGTTTTGTAGCTGTGCATAATAAGCACCCCTGATTTTGCTTAATATTTTTTTTAGAAAATGTACATATTATACATGAGGAATAACAGTACTTCCTCTTGTGATAACATTTGTGATGAAATTTGTAACAATGTTCTGAACTTGTTCATCATTCACTGCACCTGTGGTAACATCCAAGTTCTGCTGTATCTGCATATACACCAGATTTCACTATACTCACAGATTTGTCCATTTGGTCATAATCGAATTCATAAAGAATAACAACAATTGCTTTTCAAGACTCTCTGATTGGGAAACAGCAACTACTTCTCTCACTGGTCACCTACCTACTTCTCTCACTGCTGGACCCTTTTCTCCCAGACTTCCTGCCTCTCTCTGCTTATATGGATAATAGCTGAGGTAACACCCACCCACCTCGATCCATCCATTTGTGTTTGAGACCACCTATTCAGCTTTTTGGTTGGTCAAATCTTCCAAAGATTCTACTTTTCAGTCAGTCAGTTATGTGCCATGCATGATACACACTTAGGCGATTATGTATCTTTCGTATATCTTTTGATACATGACTGAAGAGGCAGATTTTTTCCCCCCGCAGTAAGTTGCCATTTCTTTCTGCGGTAGACCAGTTGCCATCCAAGGCTATAGAACCCGGTCTATCCTGCTATTTACCCATAGCTGTGAGAAGAAGAGGATTCATATCTTTCCTGAGGGTATTAGCAAGTAAGTGAATGTAATAGATTTGACTGGAATTCAAACTCGGCACTGATTCCGCAATCCATTACTCCACCATTTTATGACTATCTAAAATCATTGACAATCACCTTTGCTAATTCAAAGGCTAGCCGGAGAGAGAATCCTTGAAAACACTGACAGTTGACTCAAAGACGGAATGGAGACAAAATTCCTATGAAACTTAGATAACTAAGTGGACGTAAAAGAAAAGAAATTAATCTACTTATTTTCTAAAGATGTGCGAGAAATCATATTGTTACATCCTCCTTTTAAGTAATGTTAGCTGAAAAAATCTGTGAAAGACCTAACTTCTATCTCAGCCATCAGTTTCATCCAATATAGCTCTACATTCATCAATAAAAAATGCTGTAAAAATTAGTTTTTTTATGTACTTCTTTATCAAACTAACAAATTTCTCTTTGCGATGTTTACCTAATGGTGGTAATTTGGTTGCTTTTACAGTGTTAATATTCTACACTTTTTCTGTTCAGATTTGCAACTCTAGCTTTTTTTTCAAATGGTTTCTTGATGATCTATCCACTTTCTTTGATTATCACCATTTAATTTTTCTCAAACCTCTTTTTACAACATTCTTAATGCTAAATTTTTCGTGTTCTTATTTTGCCAAGGTGTTCATTTTTTTATTCTTCTATGACATTTCTATAATTTCCAATGTTGTGTTACCATCACATCAAAACTTTACAATATTTTGTTTCATTTTTGTTGTTATATCTTTAAGAGCCATGACAACATTCATATATCTTAAATTAATAAATTATCAATAGCTAATATATATAAGCAGACATTGAAGTTAACACCCAGTGGCAACAGTCCATTTCATGCTTATACACAATCATCAGGCCATGACGATTGCATATAGTCATGAAACAGACTGTTGCTGCTGGGTGTTGGCTTCAATGTTCACTTTTATATTTACATATGCTCCATCACCGATATTGAGCACTTTAACCGATAAATATAGCATACAGTAAAACTATATATATATATATATATATATATATATATATATGAAAATTTCTCCGATTTAATCGGTAGAAGACAATATTTATGAATAAAAATGACAATAGGAAAATTTTTCAGCAATTACCAGTTTTCCTATTGTCATTTTTATTCATAAATATATATATATATTGGATGCGATGGATAAATTGTCTAAATTATGCAAACATGTAAATAACACTGACATCTCATTTTAACAGATATATTTGCCAAAATTACACAAAAATATCCTGAATTACTAAAAAGTAAATTTATTCAATAAAGAGAAGGAAAAAAAAAAAAAAAAAAAATTGCCATTGGCTTGAACCAAAGCCTCCCAATGACTTCAGAATCAGCTGCATCTCTTCTGGTCTCATTTAAGTTGGTGAATGCTGCTGCCATAATCATTGCCTTAATTCATCTGGTGCTACAAGGATTTTGTTGATCTCTTGCTCAACTGCGCCCCACACAATCAAGAGGGTTGCAGTCTGGGGAGTTAAATGGTCAGATGTAAGGGGTGATGTGGTTACAGAAGTGGCATAGTACAGAGTCCTGTTGACAGATATAGGGTCTTCCAGCAGCCACCCTCTTGACCCAGGGTAACACAACCTCCCCAGAGCACTTGATGTAAGTCTCTGCGTTGAGTTGGAGGCCCCCACCAACAAATTTGGAAGTTCTTTTCAATCAGAATGAGTTTTCTGAGCTGCCATATCTTCAGAATCGCCATTAGTTTCATCCAACTCTTTCCAGATCCTCTGCACTGTCCTCACATTAACACCCAAAAACTGCAATGTTCGCATTGGAGCATCCAGCATGATTGCCAAGCAGTACAGCATGCCATTTCCAAATTTCTGGTGAAGTGAATTGCGTCATAGTGCTCTTTCTCACAGATAGTACCCAACTGAGCCTTCTATACTATACAGTCAACAAACGATGCACACGCACAAAATTAAAAAAAATAAAATGGCGACAATCTACCCATCACATCCTATATATCTCATAAATATATTCTGAAAGATTTCATGTTGTGTTGGTTGGTTGATTGGTTAGTAACAATTTGTAAACTAAGATTTGGAACTGATTTAGACTCCTTCAGTCAGCTTGGCCCTATACCTAAAAGAGAATTGACAATTCCGAAACCTTGTTGTCATTGGCCCAACTAGTTGGACAATGGCAAGCAAATCTGTTGTTTACCCACAAGCTGCATTCCATCTATAAACTTCCCTGTGCAGGCTTGAAGATTCTCCATTTCAGGTATTAGATAGCAGAAAACAAACTAAAATTATTCAGCAGAACAACGATCACATTTTCTTACTCAAAGCTTAAAATAGCCAACCTTCATGCATATGTATTGTATTCCTTATGTCAGGTCATTCTATGGGTGTTACTGATAGCATGTAACCAAGTAAGCATGTAAACTTGCCAGATGTACAAGTCATCGGTGATTAAACTAATTACCCAAATCAAGTTTTTTCTGGTGAGGTGGGTGGTTAGAGACACCAAACAGGATTAAAAACAAGATCTGTCAAAAGGTGGACGAAGCTTCTTGTAGGGTAAATGGCCATTTAGCATAATGGGGTAGATTGAGCTCCAACTCGTGTTGCCAGTTTGGTAATGACACTGCATCATTGGACAGATGGCTCCCGAGACTAAAGACAACAGGATGGAGGGTTCTGCCGATGAAATTAATGGTCACATGTCTATAACCAGAGTGAGCCTTCAAGCTGGAGAACACTGGCTATGGTTTGACCTGGACAGGGATGTTCTCCACTAGATCTAGCTGCTAAAGACAGTATGTATGGATGCCTATGTGGTTTTAAGCCAGATGTGTAGAAGGAGCTGGTCATGGGACTGATAATGATGATT